TGGCCCCGTACCGCACGGCCTCACCGCACCCGCACGGCTGGTGGCCGCCCCGACAGTGGGTCCGGCACTGTCACACCTGTCAGGGCTGGGCGTGGGCTGGGCGGCCTCCTGGACCTCACATCCCGCCCTCTCACTGGGGTCTGGCTCCTACGCCCGGCAGGCAGCCGTGTTGCCCTTGACGCCCACTAGGCCACGGTGCGCCGTCCCGAAGCTGGGCCAGGCGGAGGGGATGTAGGGATGCATCAGTCAGGTCTGCTCATCCGGGACACTTAGAACACGTTCAGCCCAGGCTGCAGCGAGGATCACACAGCAGAGCCCAGGCTCTTATAGGTACAACACAGGCTGCACCATGGACACAAACACTGCGGCTGGACTCGTGCTCAAAGCCTTCAAACTGTGGTCTCAGGCTGGGGAGCGAGGGAGCCTTCCCTGTGCAGACCCGGCTGTCCTCCCGACGGCCACCCCACTGTGAACATGGAGGACACCTGGGCAATGCTGGACTACCAGGCTTCAGGGCCAGGCCCCAGGAGGCTTAGCATCTGGGCAGGATGCAGGGATGGAGAACAGGCCAAGGAAGAATCATGCAAGCTCCGCCAGGCACTGTGGCAGGGAAGGCAGCTCAGGAAGAGGGACTGTGCACGTGGAGGTCAAGAAGGGAATTGTGTGCAAAGGCCTGGGGGTCAGAGAGACAGAGAGACTGCTGGGGCTAGAGCTCAAGGATACACAGGTGGCACTGCATGGCAGGGGTAGCCCAGGGCCCTGTGAGTGTGGGGGAGCCCTGGGAGAGTGTCCTGATGGTGCCAAGCAGGACAGGATGCCAGGGCCACACTGGCAGCTGGGTGGAGAAGTGATGATGGGGGTCAGGGAGGACTGGAGTTGGAGACCACACTGTGACCCCAGCGGCAATGCACCTGTCTGTGGAGTCATCAGACCTGGGCCACTCACAGTGTTGAACAGGACACCAGGAGGAGCTGAGGGGCTCCAACCCAGGTGGGGTGCAGCAGTGCCCAGCATGGGAGGCACCTCAATGCCACAAGAGGGACAGCACCACGGACTCCTGCTGTGCCCTGGGGGTGGGCACTGCCAGGGAGCAATGCCTAGCTGGGCCTGATCCCGGTCCTGGGCGTCCTGAAAAGCACCAGGCCCAGGGGCACAGTTTTCCCAGCCAGCCTGGTGACCACAGCCCCTGCGTGCCTACACAGCCTGGGCCAGCACATCAGGGTGCTGGGAAGGGGCCTGTGGGGTCCTTGTGCCCAGGAGACGGTGCCTGGCCACGCCTGGTGCCCTATTGGCACAGCCCCGTGAGGACAACCAAAGGTCAGGGCAGCTGCTTGGCCCTCCCGCCAGTCTCTTCCCACCCTGGGCCTCTGACCCGCTGTGCCCACATAGCTGCCAGGGCCACTTCCACCCATCAGACCATGGGTGTCACCCACAGGGTGGCGCCCTTCCTCAGTCCAGCACCTGGACCTCAGCAGCTAGCCGGCTGCAGCCGCTGCCCTGCTTGCTCTCCCATCCGGTTCAGCAATGTCTACCCCCGCAAGGGCTGCTGTGCTCAGGGGATGCAGGTCCAGGCCCAGCAGAGCAAGCGGTGCTGCCTCAGCCTCCAGTTCAGCCTGAGTTCACCTGGTCCTGAGGCCCCTCCCCCAACTCTGGACCTTGGAGGTGGGGTCTTGGGGGTCCCTGCTGGGGCAGGGCATTAAAGCCCCCTGCCTGCTCAGCCTTCTGCCTTCCACCTAGTGGGCTTTGGCCAGACACAGACGGAGCGGGGGCTGGTCCCTGACCTCGACCTGCCAGCCTCCTTGACCAAGAGGCGCAAACATCTGTGTGGTACAAGTTCCCAGCCTCCAGGGTTTGCCGGAACCGCAAAACAGACTCCCTGGCCATGAGCCCTGTGACCTCCTCTGCGGACCCCTCTGATGGACTCGGGGACCCTCATCTTTGG